ACCGGACCAACATCCGACAGAAGGTTAGAGACGGACTGGACCAACATCCAACAGAAGATTAGAGACGGACCGGACCAACACCTGACAGGTTAAAGGTTGCTGTTGGAGGTGGACTGAACACGTTCAGGGTGGAAAACTTTCTGTTACACATCGTTAGTGTAACGCTCTTGAGATATGACGACTTACAGAAAAAGATGTGGCGTGGATTATTTGTCATAACTCTGGTTTGACTTGGCCAATCAACACGATTTAAAAACTGATGTGTAGATTAAAGTCTGTACTTTTGGCCCACATTAAAACGGAGTCTCTGAGAGGCTGTGTCTTTCTCGGGAGAACAAATGAAATCGGTCATGTGACTTAGGTGCCGGTGTGTTGACTCCAAAGCAAAAAAGAATTGTTAAGCGTAGGCGGCGAACGTGCAGCCTGTTATTGAGAAGGTAGACTGTGTAATCTACCGGTACCTGTTCTCCTGTAGCAGACCGGGTCACAGTTCTGCAGGACTTGCTGGAGTTTGTCTCGGTCCTGCAGTAGCGCCTCTCGGAGGCTGCTCTCTCTGTGACCTCGAGGATTCAGAGCCTCGATCAGCTGATCCACCTCCTCCATGGAGCTGTAGAAGGACCACTGGTTGGGTCGGATCACCGGGAGGGCTGCGGGGCCTGAGTCGGCACTGTGGGGGAAGTAAAATCATGCTCTGGGTTAGAAAGCTCTAACAGCGCTGAAGGTTGTTTCCTGTGACTGGTTCCGTCTCTGCTGGACCGACCTTTCTGTGACTGGATCATTCTCGCCGTCCTCCGAGTTGGTCAGAGAGTCCTCCGCAGGTTTTGGACGTGGCTCCAGCATGTCTTCTGTCAGCCCGTGGAAGTCGTCTTCCACAAACAGAGCAGAGGCTGAGGGAAGGATCCAGTATCGACGGTACAGCCGGTCTCGGCCCAGAGGCAGCAGGCTGGTGCGGCCCGCCGCCTTCTGGATCTGCTCCTGCAGTTCTCGGACCTGCAGGGACAACAACATGATGATCGCAGTCTTAACCTGTTGAGTTTAAATGACGTGGATCTGCAACAGGAATGAAACAGAAACGTGACCAAGTCTTATTTTATATTTTGCAACAACAGTTAAACGTGTGAGGTGAATCCATCATCACAGTTTTAACTAAACCTTCACCGTAGAACATCTTGGACCTAAAAATGTTAAAAAAAACAAACATTTTGTTCTAAAATCCATATAAAGCAGTTTATTCAAACAAGTTTTAGAGACGTGAATGAACCAAAGGAGTAAAAATGATAATTCAGTGGATGTTCATGCATCATGCTGGAGCTATCTGTCCCAGTTCTTCCAGTATGCCTCCACATTGTTTCTGGTCCTGTGTGAGGATGGCTCCATAGTGTGAAACACCGAACACAAGCCAAGCTTTGCAACGACTGATTCTTCACAATAAAAGTTGCAAAAAACTGGGTAATTTGTTTTGCTTTTTATTTTGGTAGAACTTTGACATCATTAGCTCGATACTCCTCAGTTAGCAGCAGTTAGCAGTTAGCTGCTGCCCTCGGCTGTTTTATCTATGGAAACGTAGACGACTTGCATACAACGTGGTTCTAACTTCATTTGTCTACCAAACTTCAAGTTCTTCCAAACGCAGGCTTTCAAAGCTGAAGCAGCCGTTTGTGGGTCAGCCATCTTGTTAACGTGTCTCGTGCCATGAACAGTCCAGGTGCGGCACTTCCACACGTCAGAGCTTCATGTTTGCATTCTTCAACAGATTATCGTCAGCTAGAAAGTTCCTGGAGGAACTTTGATGAGGACTGCCACGCTACGGCCAATTTAAAATTTAGATCTGACAGTAATGGGTTGGGGTTCGCTCTCAGCTACCACTATACTAAATTTCAGTTGAATAGCTCTAAAAATGCCCGAGTTACCGTATTTTTTACTTTCAGCTAAGGTGGCCATCTTGGATATTTGATTTGGATTCAGTATGTGATATGGAACGTTCTCAGCTATAACCTCACCTAATTTCAGCTCTATATGTCTAAAAATAGATTAAAGCCATTTAAATTTAGGTTTGGTGGCCATCTTGAATTTTTAGATTTAAATCCAGTATGGGCATTACTCTCAGCTACCAACACCAAACTTCAGCTGAATATCTTTAAAAACGGCTGAGTTATCATATTCTTTTCCTTTTAGCTAATGTGGCCATCTTGGATATTTGATTTTCATTAGGAATGTATAACTCGCTCTCAGCTACGATCATACTAAATTTCAGCTCAATCTGTCAAAGAATGACAGCGTTACTAAATTTTGTTTGCTGAGGTAGCTGTGGCAGCCATCTTGAATCAAAATGGCTCCAAATGTTAATTAGTTCTAAAGACACATCTGATGATTATTATTTTCTATGAGTTTCAAACAAATCTAACAGTGAGTTTCTAAGTTTTCTTCAAGGAGAACTCCACTCCAGGTCATGTGACCTCATAGCAGCAGCGAGACATTCCATCAGGCTTTTTGTATGAGAAAAATGGATTCTTCATTGCAAATTATGTTGCCACGGTAACTCAAAACACCAACAAAAGCAATAGCACACATCATGGCGCCGAGCCGGTCATTCTGATTCAACACTTGTGGGGGTACACATTGCGGTTCGGGCTGCATTCAAGTTGTCGGAGGACTAAGGTATGAACAAAATAAAGTTAAGAAACCCGAAGTCAGGTGGATAATAACCGGTGTCTGCCTCATACTAGGCAGTCCCCTGTAAATATTTGTTTTGTTTCTGTCTGGATCCCCATGCTTCAAAAATAAATTTAAACCCCTACTCCCAGGACCTAGCATGATCAGGTGACCTCTGACCTTCTCCTGCTCCTGCTTCAGTTCCTCTGGACTCAAACTGGGAGGGGGGTCCAATGAGGGTCTGGACTCAGAGTTTTCCTTCTGCGCGCCTTTAGCTGGAGGAGAAACATGTACGAGGTTTATTTGAAACAGAACTCTGGTCTGAACAGAGAACAGCACTGAGCAGGAGACCTGCGGTCACAAAGACCTGATGGAGAGAAACAGGAAATATTCACTCGTAGTTTTACCTTTAATCAACTGTCTGGATGAAGAGTTTTCCTCGTCGTCGTCAGTGTGATGTTCTGCAGGCGTCACGCTGCAGAAAGATCAAAACACCAATTAATCTAGTCCTTACTTCCACATCACAAGCACTCCTCCTCTGGTCCAGTCTACAGCCGACTTCACATCATGTTTAAAATACTGGAGTTAACGGATTTAAACATTAACAGTACAGTTCTCACAACAAACAGGGGATTAAGTCTGAGAAGAGTCCTGCTTGGTGTGAACACCTCCCACCTGCTGGGTTGGAGTTTCTCCTCCTTCTCCTTCAGTCGATGTTCCTGCTCCCTCAGCTTCTCCTCCTTCCGAAGACGAACCCTAAAAATGACAAGAATATTTTTTATTGTTGTCACTTGTTTCTGTTCAGCTGAGGCTACAAACAGCTGTCAAACATGTGGTGGTGCTTCAGTTGTGTAAGGGAAGAGAAATCCAGAGATTTGGTTTGTATCTGGAGCAGCAGGTGTGTATTTACCTGCGAGCAGCAGGTGTGTATTTACCTGCGAGCAGCAGGTGTGTGCAGCAGGTGTGTATTTACCTGCGAGCAGCAGGTGTGTGCAGCAGGTGTGTATTTACATGTATACAGGTGTGTATTTACATGTATACAGGTGTGTATTTACCTGCGAGCAGCAGGTGTGTGCAGCAGGTGTGTATTTACATGTATACAGGTGTGTATTTACATGTATGCAGGTGTGTATTTACCTGTATGCAGGTGTGTATTTACCTGTGTACAGCAGGTGTGTATTTACCTGTGT